ACTGGTTCGGCTGTATTTGGAGTTTTATTCTGACTCTGAAGTTGAACGATGGTGATTTGCTGAGCTTGCAGCATCTCGAATATCACTTGGAAGCTGACTCCCCCATCTCCCATTCCTTGTGTTCTTTGGCCACCATATCGGGCTTCCATGTGTATATTTCCTTTAGGGTCCGCGCCTATATATGCATTTAAAGCGATGTGCGAACTAACATCAACTGGTTCTGACCCCTACATTGTTGTTTTCTCCAAGACCTTTGTTGTCATGAATAGGTGCATTTTGTGAGATAGACATGTTTCAACCTGAGAATCAAAAATTCTTGACAAGAAAAAGTGTAAAAACAACGTGTGTAATGAGAATCAGTAAAGAAATAATCATTATTATCTTTAGCCCCACAGTGGGCACCAAACTGTTTATCTCGAAAATACGAGTAACAATTAAACTTGATTTGTGGTTTAAAAGATATGTGATTTAGTTCAATACCAATTAATATTCAAGAAATATGAGGTAGAAATTAAAGAAGTAAGTGAATCAAACCAATATAATTTAGCTGATGTGATCTCGAGCTTAGTGACCTCGAGATGGGTTTAGAATAATAAGTACAATTAAGCAAGAAAAGTAGAGAAAGAGCAGTAGAGCTAAAAGACAATTCTGATGAACAGTAGGCGTAAAAGTAGAGAGTATATTCTTTTCTCAATGATTAGATGATCTTACAAATGAATGGGGTCCCCTTTATATAATAGGGGAACCCTTGAATAAAGTATATTTCTATTTACAGTAAGGAATATTCTTGGTACAACTGTCTAACCGCCTAGTACGGAATCGTACAATACTATTCCGAGATTTGCGCCACGATCTTGGGGACGTGGCCGGAATCTAGCTCATTTGGTTACAAATCCATAACGATACTATACTCAGCTTCGGTACTCCTCGTACTCCTATCTCCGGTCCTTGCATTCTATCTTCGATCTCGAGTTTGTCCATTGGGCTCGAACTCGACTTCGCCCGGACTTAGGCTTAAGACGGACCCTCGAGCCTATAAGTCGGAGGCATATGATTTTGACCGTATACAATAGGTAACTGAAATTTTATCTTGTAATTCAACTTCCAGCAATATATATATATATATATATGGAACAATTACACTTTATATCACCCGAACTAGTTCTATAACCATAAAAGGCCCATATTTTGGGATTTTACCTGCTGAGACCCATATTATATATATCTTAAAATAAAAGTTTCAATGTTTAACCCAAGCAATCTTCAATCATTTCTTCTACATTTTCTCCTCTTCTTCTCTCCACTCCAGTTGCCACATCTCCTAAGTTTGTTATGAAGTCAGGATTTTGATATCCAAACCAAAAATTAGGTTGAGGGAGTTAGAAGCTTTTCAGATCTAAAAATTTATGAAAGAATCATGCTCAAATTCGAGTGGGTGCTATTGAAATTAATTGATAATAGTCCAAGAAGCTTCAACCAAGAGATTTGGTTCAGTTAGACTATTTTGCAACTCTTTGAGGACGAATTTGGTGAGGTAAAATTGGGAAAAGAACAAAGTTCTTGATTTTTGTTGAAATTTCTTCAAGATTAAAATTTTGGACTGAAAAAGCCGAACTGGGTTCTTGATTTTTGTTGAAATTTCTTTAAGATTGAAGTTCTGGACTGCAGAGATTTTAAGTCTATTCCAATTTATTAGTTTTTTAACAGACCTGAGGAAGATGTATTTTGGTGGAAAAAATTAAATGGGTGTTGATTAATATCGGTGAAATTATTTGGGTGAAGCTAAAAATATTGAAAAAGCTTTTAGTAACTTGAATTTAGAGTATTGCGTTGATTGAGCATGATTAACATTGGTTTTGAGAATCATACCAGTTGAAAAAGGAAATTGAAGGTGAAATTCATTTTTCGTATACAACATTATACATCATTATACAATATTATACAACAATATACAAAATTATAATAATTGTATAATGTTGTATATTAGGTGTGTAAATAGTGTTATACAACATTACTCTTTCTATTCGCGATTTCTATTCGACTTTGGTGCAGTGGTCTTTCTCTTTGAAGTAAGTTCCTCTTTCACATGTGCAGTTAAACCTAATTTTGCTTTTCTGTGTTGGTGAAATACTGGAATACATTATGATACATTCCATATATGAGTTTATACTAAGTTATACATTTTTATACATATACAACATATGTGGACTTAAAACTGAAATTAAATTTTTTCTTACTTTTTCTCGAACAATCGATGTATAAAGTCAATTTTTTGTTGATTTCTCTGTCAAATTGCAAAATTGTAGCAATTTTTTCCATTTTTTATTTTTTATTTCTTTTGTTTCTGCTATTTAAAACTTAGGAAAGAAGAAATTTAAATTTTTTTTTCAAGTTGCATTATAATTGTTTTGCATTGTTGTAGTTGTAATAGGAATATATATGATAGATTTAAGTTGGTTGTGTGCAAAGAATAAAAAATCGCATATAAATCTGTAAAGTTATATTCAGGCGATGATGTCATATTGTGAGATTTTCATGGGCATTTTTATGGACTATATGGATGAAAACTTTAAATGATGGTTATGCGGATGAAAAGCACCTACTTGGACCGTACTTTTATGCAATTATCCCGAAGAAAATTGCAGAGAGCATCCAAGGAGGAATTAAAGAATTGGAGTGAAGAGCTTGATAATCAAAGAGTTATTGTGTATTTGAAATAGTGAATGTACATCTGGTTTGATAAAGTAAAGGTGTGATACACGTGTCAATTTGCAAATAATATGGCCCGAATAAAAATATACTCATATAACGCATTTTGTACAATTTAGGACTGCTGTGTTCAAACAACAACATAAAACAACAACAACAACAACAACCCAGTATAATCCCACAAGTGAGGTGTGCGGAGGGTAATATGTACGCAGACCTTACCCCTACCCCGAAAGGTAGAGAGGCTGTTTCCAGGAGACCCTCGGCTCAAAAGCAACAGAAGCCGATATATTAATACCGTAAAAATGCATAATAAAAATGCATAATAAAATAACAGCAATAGATTGTATTCGTATACATATATCGTAAAAAAGGTAAAGTAAAGTACATAAAATAAAATGTGCATCAAAAGCATTAGAGTGGAAGACTTTTATTAGCTAGCTAGCTCCTCTCTCCCCTCCCCCTTATTTTAATTTAAATTCGGTTTATGTTTTGTGTACTGTCAATATAAATAAAATTTATATTATTATGTTAATTTGACTTATAACAACATATTATTTCATATATATATATATATATATATATATACACACACGATATCTTGAAAAATAAAATATTTATTACGAGTTAAATATATATATATATATATATATATATATATTTGAAATTATTGGTAAAATTATTTCTCCATATATACTTGTCTAAATAAACAAAATTAAAAGCTGATGTTATTAGTTTTGGATCACATGAATTGTGAATTCCGTTTTTCATTATTTTTAGGGGTGGGAACCGTAAAATAACCCTTCAAACAAAAGGACAAGAAAAAATCCAGTATTGAAACATCTAAGACAAGCATGAGGGACAATAAGCATTCATTTCATTGGTTTAATTAGAGAACACGTACATATATGTGATACATTGGGGTTGGCCCAAGGAGAGTATGAGTTGAACTTAATATATCTTTTGAACTGTTATTGTCACCTAAAAGATAACAATAGGTTACTATCCGTGATAATTGAGATTAACAAAGGCAGTAAGTAGTTAATTTAATTTGTTACAACATATTAAATTACACGGGTAATAAAAATTCTGTATATTGAAAATGTATGTTATATAAGTTAAAACGTTTATTTATATATTTTAAGTATGCAATACTAAGTAATTAAGTTTGTAGTTGAAGAGCAAATAGCAAATGCAAAGCAAAAGGGGAGAAGGTCTCTGCTAAAACGTGAAGGTCTGAACTTTGGAATATAAAAATGAAGTTTTCAGTAAAGTTCTGCTTCTTTAATTTCCTTCCATGCCTTTAATGTATCTTTTCCCTCCTCCCATGTTTCATGTCTTAATTATTTACTCTATCTACTATACGGAATGAACCCCTTTTTCGTGTTTCCTTTTTTATTTACTTTGGGTCTAGGGTTTTGGACAGTAGCGGAACCGCTCTTGGTGTCACTTTGCTGAAAATTATATTGTGTAAATAAGTAAGAAAAGATTATATATATATGTGCGTGTGGGATGGGTGGGTGTGCGTGTTAATTTGCTCCTTTGTAATTTTATTTTTCTTAACGAAAATCGTGGATTCGCATTTTGGACAAGAAGTTGAACATTTGTTTGATTCGCTTAATGCTGTTGGAATACATGTTGTACCAAAAATTTGTTTTCGTCTTATTTTAACTGAACTCATACGGATCAATACTTCAAATTAAATTTCTCTAGTAAAATGTCTCAATTCATCGTATTGCACAATAGGTTCGTTTATTTCTTAAACAGTGGTTTTGGGTATTCTAATTGATAAGTATTTGAATAAAAATTGTAGTTATTTCTTTGATTCCACTACATGCTACTAAATCTGAATTGTCTATATATTCAAGACTTAGATGAAAATGAATGAAGAAGATGAAGTAGAGAGAGATACAAAGAGATGACTGAAAATGGTGACTTTGATATTTTTTAATAATGTGTATTATGTACACTTGGCTGATACATATGTACACGTGAGAATGAGGTATAGGTAGGTATTAACTAACTTAAGCTTAACTAATTATGTTAACAACTTCTAACCACCTAGACTGTAAAGACTCTTCTCACTCTGATATCATTTAATACTCCCCCTCAAGCTAGGTGGAGTAAAAGTATTAAGAATACCTACCTTGGAGTTTAAATATTCATGCTGCACTCGATTGAGTCCTTTAGTGAGAAGGTCAGCAGGTTGAACTTTTGTAGCTATATACTTGGTTGTAACAAGTCCTTGTTGAATCCTTTCTCGTACAAAATGACAGTCGATCTCGATATGTTTAGTTCGTTTCATGATAAACAGGATTTGCAGCTATTTGTATGGCTGCTTTGCTGTTACTATGAATTTCAACTGGTAGGTTGATGTCTGTTTCCACTTCTTTCAAAACTCCTATCAACCAAATAAGTTCTGCTACAGTTATTGCAAGACTTCTATACTCAGCTTCTGCTGAGCTTCTAGAAATTGTGGTATGCTTCTTAGATTTCCATGACACTAATAAGTCACCAATCTCGATTAAGAAACCAATGACAGTTCTTCTAGTAATAGGGCAGGCAGCCCAGTCAGCATCACAGTATGCAATCACAACATTATTGTTTTTGCTAGATAAGAGTATTCCCTGACCTGGTTGATTTTTTATATACCTTACTATCCTTAAGGTTGTTGTCATGTTTGATTGTTTAGGCTGCTGAGAAACTGACTTAGAGTTTGAACTACAAAGAATATATCAGGTCTGGTTACAATTAGATAGAGCAACTTCCCTATAAGTTTTTGATAAGTAGCTTGATCAACCAAGGAATCTTCTTCAGCTTGACTCTTTGTATTTACCTTATCATATTGTGTTGAAGTGAGCTTGATGTTTGTATCAATAGGTGTTGCTGCAGGTTTGGCAGCAGACAATCCAACTTCTGAAATGAGTTCTAAGGTATATTTCCTCTTATGCATATTGATTCCTTCCTTCAATCTTGCAAATTCAATATATACCGAAGAAATACTTTAGATCTCCCAAATCCTTCATTTTGAAGGTTTTCTGTAATGAGGTCTTGGTTTCTTCAATTACTTTCATATTATCTCCTGTAATTAACATATCATCTACATAAACTAAATCAATGACAATATCTTCAGTAGTTTTCTTAATGAACATGGAATGATCAAACTAGCTTTGTTTAAACCGAAACTTTATTAATACTTAAGATAATTTAGCATTCCATTATCTTGGAGCTTGCTTAAGACCATACACGAATTTCACAAGTCTGCAAACTGTCCTTGTCTCCCTTGACTTGAGAATCTTTGAGGCAAGTCCATGTAGATTTCATCATAAAACTCACCGTGAAGAAAGGCATTATATACATCCATTTGATGTATGTGCCATTTCCCAGCTGCTGCCAAGGCTAAGATGGTTCTGACTGTTACCATTTTCACAACATGTGAAAAGTTTTTTGTGGGTAGAAAAAAGACTGAATTTTTTGACATCTTGATTAGTAAGATAGTGAAAAGGCTCAATGGTTGGCAAGGCAAGCTCTTGTTATATGGTGGTAAAGTTGTGTTGATTAAAAGTGTCCTTCAATCTTTGTCGATTTAAACATTATCTGCTATGTCCCCCTTAGAACTACTTTTAAATTAAATTGAAAAATATTTTGTTATTTTTTTTCACGTCCACCCAGTGCCGCTACCCACTTCTACTAAGGCTGTTTTTCGATGAAAAGAGGGGATTATGATACCCTAGGAGCGTGTCAGAAAGATGGGTACGCGAANAGAAGATGTGGCATTAGTTCGAAAATACTTTCTTAAAGTGGTGAATCGGCTTCTCCCTAACAGGGCATTCTATGCATCTTCAGCTAGCTTTCCCCCGCCGCCTACTATCTAGCTGCAATCCTTCCCTTAACCCTAATCATGCTTAAGACATGGAATTGGATGCTTCTTACCCCAAAAGTCAATAAATAGAAGAGTGAGGAGGGATTTTTTGGCAAAGCAAGACTGATTAGCTCGCCTAAGGGTCGTAGCGGAAGAATTCCTCATCTGCGAGCTATTGGGGATCTATTCTCAGGAAGGAATGAAAGGACTGACTTTCCTTACCTAATAACATCTTAATCTACGATCTACGAATAAGAAATAGGAGCATCTAGCCGAGTAGCAGTCAGTAGGCGGAGAAGAAGTCAAAGGCGAATATCTCTTTGCCCCCCTCTTCAGTCAANGGTAATTCTATTGAGCGCAAAAGGTATCATTGGAGTTCCTGGAGTAACCTCATTGTGCCTACAGATGAGGGTAGTATTGGTGTTAGAAAGATGAAAGAAATTAGTGATATGTTGGGTATGAAAAGGTGGTGGAGGATTAGGTCCACATCATCTCTATGGGCAACATATGTTAGACATAAGTATTGTATTAGATCTCATTTGGTTTCAAAACAATTGTATTAGATCTCATTTGGTTTCAAAATAATGGGCTACTGGGAACTCATATGCCTAGAAACATATTCTTAAAATTAGAGGCATTGCAGAGAAACACATGGTCTGGCAAATCAATTCAGGTTCAAGTAGTTTTTTGTGGGATAATTGGACCTTAAAAGGTCATCTTGCGGATTTAGTTACTACCATGAGGAAGAGCCATAAAACCTTGGTGCGTGAATTCGTCACTGAGGGCAGGTGGGATGTTAGAAAGCTGAAGAATATCCTTCCAGAGCACCTGATAAATCATATCCTTAGCATTGACATTGAAAACCAAGACAAAAAGGATAAAGTTTATTGGGACCTTACAGGGAATGGAAAATACTCCAACAAGATAGCTTGACATCTTGTAAGAAACCCTAAACCTAAGAAACAACATATTGGTAAGATTTGGAATTCCTATATTCCTTTTAATATGTCATTCCTAGTTTGGAGGCTTTGGAAAGGGAAACTCCCCTTTGATGAAGTTATTTTTAGGTTTGGAAGACAGATTGTTTCTAGGTGTAACTGCTGTAAGAATCCTGACTATAAAAACATGTACCATATTTTCGTAGAAGGACAGGCAACCAGTTATGTTTGGAAACTTTTTGACTCCCAACTTGGAATTGTGAGCACGTGATTTTTTCCATATATATGAATAATTCCCAAAAATTCAAACAAAATAATTTTTCTTTATTTTTACAATTTTTGTGAATTTTGATGTCATTTTGTGTTAATTGTTTGCATTTTATTTGTGCATTTTTATTCATATGAAAATACGAAAAAAAATGCATTTGGCATTTGCATTTAGGATTTAACTTCATATTTTAGTATTAATCAGGGGTTAATTTGTTTTAGAACAAAATATAAAGAAAATAACAAAATGGTCCGTTTTGCATTTTTAGTTTAAATTTGTATTAGTTTGCATTTTCTAAGGAATTAATTAAGAAATATATTTTTTAATGTAATTTGATTGTGAGTTTTTGTTTCAGCATTTTTGATAAAATCAGAAAAATATATAAAATAAAAAAAAAGGAAATAAATACAAAACAAGTAAAAGAAAAAAAAGAAAATAAGTCAAATAAAAGAAATGAAAACAATGAAAGAGCCAGCCCAAATCCTTTAATTCCCAATCCGGCCCAAATCACCCCTCCTTGCCCATGACCTGACTCGTCCATATACACACGAAAATACAATCAGATCCCCAGAGCCCTAATCCCAAAACCGCGACTGTTCTTCTTCTTTGAAGAACACGCGAGTCAAGCCCCAAATTCGTCCCAAAAATCGTTAAAATTCACGCGAGTGAGCATCAAGCCCTAACCCACGCGTCCCTCTATCTATCCTCTTGCTGTTGCTAACTGATTTTCTGATGCCAAGATTCGCTTCTGTTCACTCACTCGATTTTGAGAGAAGGCACGCGATTGGAAGGTCCTAGAGACGATTCGTTGGATGAATGTGAGACATTGGATGGATTTCGTTCAATCCGAGCCCCACATTCATCAGGGGTTCGTTTCATAAAAGGACTGAATCCGATTTTCGGGAGGGGGGGGGGAAGAATTTTGGAGAAGAAAACTGAGGTGTAAAAAATAGTCTTTCTTCTTTTTCTTTATGGTTAATTTTAGTTTAGTTCCAGTCTATAAAATATACACAAAAATAGTTTGAGTTTTTTTTTTCCGAGTTTAATTTTGTTTTCCCTGTCAAAACCGGAGAGGAACATTCAGTGGTGAAGCTAGTTTAATTTTCATTCCAGTCTGGATTTTGGTTTTAAAATGGAGCTCGTTTGAGAATTGCTGAGTTCGTCGTTGTTCAAACCTCTTATTTCTATTCGGTTGCTACTGATTTGCTGTTATTCGAGCTTTGATCGGCCATTTTGTTCTTGTGATAGTTTTGGAGTCGAAACTGTGTAATCGCCTTCGATTCTGTTATCAAAAGAAGTTCGAAATTTCAGGTTCAATCTTCATCTCTCTGCTCTTGCGATTCTGTTTCGTTTCAATGCTTTGAACTATGTGTTTTTGCCTCGAATGGATCTATGATCGAATTTCGTGTTGAATGAATTCATTCTCAGTGGTGTGATGTATTTGAGTATCTTCAGTTAGTAGAAGCTGATTTTAAGTGGTCGTTTTCTATAGTTTAACGGTTATTGTGATGTCAAGCCTTCATTTGAATCCCAATTTCGTCGTTTTCAAATAGCTATTATAGTTTGGTTGGTCTATCATTGTGAAACTACTCTCGGCTGCTGGAACTGGAAGGTTGGCTCATAAGTTTGCTTGATTTTGAGCGTTATAGTATGAGTATGGAAATCGATCGTGTATTTTCTTGGAACACAAATTGCATATCGTTTGTTTTCCTTCTCTGAAAAACATCTGCTCCCCTATGCCATGTTTTACTTTTGGTATTTGGACGTCTATATGGAATTTGTTCAACTCCAACATGGTTAATCGAGGCTCGATTTGATTGTGTGATTATGTGAGTTGGTGAAGCATGTTAGGTTACTGTTAGAATTCATTTAACATGTAGCTGTGTGTGCGCGTCTGCCTCCTCTATCACCATACGATCATAGTTTGGTTTTTTTTTTTGGAGAAAATATTTGAAAGCTGGTTTCTAAATGATTTGAAGGTTAACTTTGTTCGGCTTTCTTNATGTTAGGTTACTGTTAGAATTCATTTAACATGTAGCTGTGTGTGCGCGTCTGCCTCCTCTATCACCATACGATCATAGTTTGGTTTTTTTTTTTGGAGAAAATATTTGAAAGCTGGTTTCTAAATGATTTGAAGGTTAACTTTGTTCGG